ATTGAAGAATTCGAACAAGGTGCTTTGATCTGGGTCACCATAAATATGCGATTAAGTTGCGAAAACGGGGTCAAACTACTTCTAAATGATTTATTTTATTAGTATACTCGGAGATCAGTCTAGGGTACAATTAAATTGTATCATAGGGCCTATTTATTTCATTTTGGGAAGCTTTAAGGTTACAAAAACAATAGCAACAACAAATACTTTTACAACTTACTATTATTAATAGTGGTAGTAGGGGTTGTCGTTATTGCCATTTTATTTGTTGTAGTATTCCTCCCCGGTTTCCATTCAACATTAAATATGAAGTAAAAGGTTGCTTGGTGTTAATTGTAATCTGAAGTAGTAAATCTCATTAATAATATAAAAAGTAAAATATAATGAATAATACCAATAACAATAATAAATAGTTTTCATTATATTTCCTCTGAGAGTTGATTTATTGTGAGGTTCTTCCGAAATAGTTAATGTTGCTACTTCAGTCGATGAGCATGTTGACCTGGGCGATGCGATTGCTGATGCGCTCTCGTGGCCATTTCATCACTAAACGTGAGGGAGCTTATGGTCTCAACTTAAAGAGGCCGATGGATTTTGCAATAGCCAGACAACAGAGAGGCTGGGTGTGGAGAGAAGAAGAGGGGCCAGGAGACTGGTATCTTTTCTTTTTCTCTCGCTTTTGGAAGACGACCTCTGAACCAAATGCCAGAGCTGCCATCTGGGAGTGTAGGCCTCGAGGTTATGTCTTCATCCTCAATTAACGGTGCAAATTAGGCATCATTTTAGAGGCTACGCGACAGCTTAAGGACGAGATAACATAATGCACACAGGTTAATTGTAGGAAAAAGAATAGAGGGTTGTTTGAGATATCATAGAACTTGGTTTTCAACAACTTGTTAAGTATTTATGAGGATTTCTACCTTCAGATGAATGCTATTTTCACATTTTTGACAGATCTTTAACATTTCTCTAAAACTAGTTTAAAATGACTGGTACATGTTATCTTTGTTACAATTTTTCCTGAAGATTCCAGACTATAGATGTTAGGAGAAGTTTGGTTTTGCATACACACAGTGCAGATTCATCCACAAGCCTAAAACACGCTTCAGCATTACAGGATTATAACCTAGTTTATTTACGTAATGAACCGTCTATAATAAAATACAATTCCTTTATATGCATCAACTTTACTCATTCGAATGCATGTAGGGTAGGCATGAAGTAGGCAACCAAGTCGTGGAATGCCTCAGTAAAATCACAAAGTCAGGCATAAGAATAAGAATTTCTGAAAGACCAACTTTCTAGGTTGAGTGATTTTTGGGGTTTGTTCGCGAATGATACTTTCTGGCTCCCATGACGTACTTAAGATCCTTAAGGATGCCAGATAGAATGTTCTAAATCCCCACGTTTTGCCGGATATGGGGACTTCACAGCTAAGCGGAAGATCAGGGAGTCGATCAAAAGTAGCAAAACAAACAGCATCCTGAATAAGAGGAATGAATGTAGGATACTATGTATGAACTATCTCTGGCTTCTAAACAGAATGAAAGAGAGAGAGAGAAGGAAGAGCCAGTGAGTAAGACGAGAAGGCTAGACTAAACTGGAGCCTGTTTTGTATCTAAAATTGTTAACCAACTCGTGGTTGTTGCATACTCACATGAACACACATCCACTAAGCTTTACTAAGAGCCGGGATTACGGCCTAGGATTACGCTATTTTATTTACATTGAAAAAAGTTGTGACCATATCCACTCTCCTGCTTGCACCACCTTGATCCGTTTCCCTGCATGTAGTACAAGCATACGTCAGCCAACCGTATCATTGAATGTCTCATGAAGATCGCAAAGTGAGGTATAAGAAGCGAGTATGATCTCAACTGGCCACCCTTTCTCGGTGTAGTGTTTTTTGTGTGATCTCTTCGTGAATGATGGTTTCTGGCTCTGATGATGTCCGTCACAAAACGGACGAAAGCTCAGCACCGAGTCATCGGGCTCGTAGGACGGTCAGTCGAGGTCTTCTTCGTACAATTCAACAGACAAAAGTCCAAGGCAACCCTCCTTCGGTACCAGGTGAGGCCAATCTATGAATCTGTCCGACGACCCTTCGCAAAGCAAATGAAAGGTACGCCAGTATT